GATGTCTTTGTTATCCACTCAAATTTATTAGTGGAATTACGTCGATACCTGTCGGTAATAAGGTACATTCACAAGTGACAAGTCATAAAAAAATATGTACAGATAAGTTCAGTATCAATTACTTACCCAGGGATACAGCTGACAAAATAATAGCAGTAAGTGCTTTCGAAGCTACTAGAAATTCAATAGTAAACTACAACATGTTTTAAACATACATATATTTAAAAAGAATACACTCACGTTCTTGTGTGGTCCCAGATTTCAATGTAACCTTTACTTCTTAATCCTGGGAATTTAATCGTTGCAGGAACGATTCAATGGCATTGGGAGATGTACCGGGGGATTAGGGGTTCCAGTCCCGGGATTTTTCGGGATTTTATTCCCGGGAATTCCCGGGAAACGGGATCCCGAAATCCCGGGATTTGAAGAACTGAAATCCCGGGATTTCGGGATTTTTCAATTTGTCATTCAGAATTGAAAATTACTTATAATTTAAAATTTTAATAGCAGTTTTAAATAATTATCGGTTATATGATTAGTAATAAAAAGCTTCGATGATCATAACCAATCAAAATTGATCCTGAACTCGAAAATATAAATTTTAAACAATATTAGTGGCCACATTTAATGTACTCGTACGTTTATCCAAATTTCATAATTTGCAAGTAACATTTATAATACAAGATGGAACTTAAAATTTTCTTAAAATTTTTTCGGTATAATTATAGAATCTGAAATCAGTTATGATCAAAAATGCTAAGATGTTAGAAGTGATTTCGAATTTTAGTCGATGAATTTAAGGCTGTATGAAAGGCTTTTTGAACGTGGTAGCTCATATACATATGTACTTATTTAAACTTGAAATTTTTGAATTACCAACCTCCATGTCCAATTGAAGTTTTTCAATATTAATGTTAATGCAGGTTAGGCCAATTAATATTGATATTTGATAAACGTAAATTTATGCATTTCGGATTAACATGCTGACAAATCCTTGATTAATTATTTAAGTTTTCTGGAATGAAATTATTAAACTCTTTCTTCACACCTCTCCAAAATAGTGAATTTTAACCAAGTGGGCTTACACAATACATCGAATTTTTAAATTTGCCATAGTAGGCAAAACAATATAATTACTAATTTGTATTGCTACAGTACATAAATATGTATGTATTTTCAAAATATTATTTTGTGTAGGCCAGAAAATAGCATACTTTAAGTATTTCTGCAGGCACAGATCCCAAAAACACAGAAGGAGGTATTATAAATAGTGCTCGGCACGAGACGAGACGAGACGAGATTGCCTTGTCTCGTCTCGTCTCGAAAGTGACTCGAGACGAAGTAATCGAGACGAGACGAGATGACGATTTTGTCATCTCGTCTCGTCTCGGTCGAGACGAGACGAGATGTCTCGACATTCATCCATGTTTTTCAAAATATCTTTTGTATTCTTCAGATAATTACAAAATACAAATAGACAAACTGCAAATATTTAGAATATTAATAATTGGCCTTGTATTCCTTATATAGTAAACTACATACTAGTAGTTTACACAAAAAAATAAAGGATAAATCTTAATCGTAAGCTAGTAACGGGACGACAAAAGTTTACGACACTTCCATTGAGTCATTTCACGTCAATTTTCGTTAGTACGTAAACACGTAAACTTACTAACCTTACGAGCTTTTGACAAAACGTACCAATATTACTCGGTACTTTTGAGAGCCATGTACCTTTTTGTACACCCAAATTTGACTTGACCCAAGTTATAAGGTAATATTTAAATTTCGGGAAAAATTCCCGGGATTTCCCGGGATTTTTCACGGCTAAAACCGGGATTCCCGATTCCCGGGATTTTAAAAATCGTCCGGGATTGGGATCCCTACGGGGGATTATACTGAAATGACCAAACGTAAATATTTGCAACGATGACGAAACTCTCAGCTATTCATTTACGATGCATATACTTATATACATATGTATGTAGGTATATTGAAATGTGTATACTACATGTATGATATAAGTTGTGGAACAATATGCGCGCTTCGGCTAATTACTCATGTCAGATTTTAATTGGTTGTCATCGCTCAACTTGACAAGCAGGTCACGATTATATATATTTAATATGAAACACTCGTCGGCATATTGCTGACATTTGGATTGTTATCACTCATAAAATGAAATAAGCCTCGTATACAATCCTGTGTAAAAATCCATGTAAACTTGGAAATTAAATTAACATGAACACAAAAGGCGTTTACGGTATTATGCACAAGATTCTTCTCACACATTTGCCTAGATTAAATAAGTAAGTCAGTTGTTGAGGCAGGAAAATACCGTTATATAAATTGCGTTACTTTTGATTCAAAGTGAGCTCAGTTTTGCTGGAAGCTTGGCATAAAGCAAAATGAACAAATTCTGGTTTATTTGTTCTGAGGCTACCCGTGCCTGCATTGCGCCACCCCGTCTCCAGAGTAGCCCGCTTCTACCCATAACCTTGTTGATAAAGTATAGCGAAACCCCTCAAGTATGTATTTAAAGCTTTAAAACTTCTTAAAATTTCAAAAATATGTACGAATGACTTATCACGCTTGAGATTATGTCTTTGGGCAGATTTATTTAACGAAGTGGGAGTTCATACAATTGTCTCATTTTGAAGGTACGAATAAGTATGGATGTACAGTATCCCACTTAATTGTAGATGCAGTGCATGCATGCATTATATAAATCACAAATTCTCCAAAACGGGTCAATATTTCATATTGATTTTTACACCAATTATCAACCACATTTCATACTACAATCGTGCAAAATTTCAAATGAATTGGTCTAAAACTGATGAAATTATAGATTTTTAAATGTCAAAAGGTTGCAAATTGCACGCCACAAAATTGTAGATGCAGCCGAGTTTAATTATGATACCCACCCAGGCTTTTAGTGTAGATACAAATTTCGTTCGGGATTGCTTATTCCCCATAAGAATAGTTGTTTGAGTTGTCAATAAAAAATATTTTGTGGAAATTTTATTTCAAAATAGTACATAACCACGAGGTCAATCTAGAAATTCGAACAAAAATTCTTGCGGGTCATGAAAATGGGTAAAGTTATGTAAAACTTGGCGAAAAATTTGAAACTTAAAGATAACTAGTGCAATCTATTGTCCAAAAAGAGGAATTAAATGTCAAATCATTTTATCCATCACGAGCAGGGTCTAAATAGCCGTACATTGTCATGTCATGACAGATATATAAGAACTTATAAGACTTATAAGAACAGTGAGGATGGTCCTCGTCTGCTCACACCAAAACTTGCGAGCGGTGTCCAAAGCTATCTTTTTACTGATGTCCACTTATAAAAGAGTAGACACAGGCCGATATTCACTGAATTATCGGGAGATTTCCCAAAATAAACACCATAGATCTCAGTGGGACACCACAAGAAATCCTTAGGGTTCATAAGCCAAAACACAGAAGGTCCGCTTGTGTCAGGAATTTTTTTTTCCTCCTGGATGAGATCAAAATTCAACTTCCTGGTTCAGATGGAGTTATCAGAATGTGGCGGAGCTAAAACATAAGTGTGAACAATTGATTTCTGTGGGCAATTGTTAAAAATAGATATGTCAAGGAAATCTTGGCTGCGGGTTTATTTAGTATGTGGTGTGAAACTTTCGATTTCTTGCCGGAATGGAATGAGGCAGTTTCCGTTAGTACGGGATAGGGACCTTGAAATGTGTCGCAGACATGCTGCAAAACGAGGCTTATCTTGATTTGGTAAAAATAAATCTTTGTCGATTTGCAAAAATATCGGACTTTGGTCACAGATTTATCTTCCAACATTACGAGTTTTAGATAAATATTACAAAAATCATCCCGAATTGCTTCAAGGGTAGTACAATAAAGGTGTTGGGTTGGGGTTTTCAATCCCCCGACCTCAGCTCGATCGAGCATTGATGGGTACCCTGAACGCATCATCCGGCATAACGGAAACCTATAAATCCAGCTAATCTGAAAACAATAATCACAGAAGAGTGGATCAAGATCGACCAAAGCGTCACTGAAAGATTGGTGGAGTCGACGTTCAGACGAATTCAAGCCGGTATTGCAGCTAAAAGTAGGCACATAAAATATTGAAAGGGCTATTTAGCTGCATCTACAATTTTGTGGCGTGCAATTTGCAACTTTTTGACATTCAAATATCTATAATTTCATCAGTTTTACACCAATCCATTTGAAATTTTGCACGATTGTAGTATGCAATATGGTTGATAATTGGTGTAAAAATCAATTTGAAATATTGACCCGTTTTGGAGAATTTGTGATTTATATAATGCATGAATGCACTGCATCTACAATTAAGTGGGATACTGTATTTACATATGTAGGGTGTATTCAATTCAATTCAATTCGGTGTTTATTCAAGTGACAGAAGTACATAATATGTTGTGATACACATTGTTTCCAGTACTAGGTCACACTAACTAGTTGATAAAATATATGAAAATATCTATTTCTATTCAAATTCATATTATTGCATGTATTGTTACATTCTTTGTCATTAGATAGTATTTAGTAAAATATATAATTGTCACGACGTTGTAAAATTAAGTACTGTCTGAGTGCTGTGTCAAATTCTGGAGTGCTTTTTAGCGTTTGAATTTCTTGTGGAAGTTTGTTCCATTGCTTGATTACCGTATGAAAGAACGCTTTTTGTCCAAATACGGTTTTTAGTCGTGGCAATATGAGATTGTTGGAGGTTCTTGTCGTTCGCACTTGGTTGTCAATTTCTTTCTTCTCTATTTGATGATGAAGTGTTTTGGTACTACTTATTACATGTTTGTATACGTACTCTAAACTATACAGGATATATCTCTCTTCAGAGGTTAACCAATTCATTTTCTCAAATATATCATTCTTTTCATTTAACAAACCTTTTCTTTTTAGGATGACTAATTTTGCTAATTTTAACATTATTTTGTCGAGCTTATCATATTTAATTTGAGTTAAGTTTCCCCAGACTGGTATACAGTAATCTAATAATGATAAAATTAGTGACGGAGTGAATATTCTTAGCCACTTGGTATTAAATGAATGCTTATTTCTATTTATCATGTACATTCTAGCATTCATTTCGGAACAAACTTTGTTAAAATGCATTTCATATGTTAAATTCTCTTGTAAAATAACTCCTAAATATTTGAAGCTACTTACTAACTCAATGTCACATTCATCAATCTTGATGGATAAATTTTGATTTGGTTTGATATTGGTTGGGCGGAATAGCATGGCCTTTGTCTTCGGGAGGTTTATTTTCATTCCATTTTCATGGCACCAAATTAAGAGTAAATTGAGGTCTTCATTTAATTTATCTTGGATCTCTTGGACGTTGTTTCCTGAGTAGTAGAGACAGGCGTCATCTGCATATAGGACGCATTTGCAGTGTTTGAATATTTTTGGGAAGTCGTTAATATAACAGGAGAATATCAGTCCGGATAGAGACGATCCAGTTGGCGTTCCTCGCAAGAGTCGAATTGGAGCCGATTTGTGTTTTCCTCTCTGCACTGTAATGGTCCGTTCTTCGAAATATGATTTGAACCATTGGAACACCTTGCCTGTTATCCCAAGTTGTTGTAATTTGTTTAGTAATATTGGATACGCAAAGGATTCAAAGGCCTTCTCAAAATCAATTAGGGCGACTCCCGTCATTTGTCGTCGTTCTCCAGCCTCACGGATGGCATCAGTCAGGACCAGGGTTGCTGACAGTGTTGATCTCTTTGATCTGTATCCGTGTTGTTCGTTGCATAATTTATCGTACTTATCTGTGTACATATGTATCCGGTCATATATGATTTTTTCTAATATTTTAGAGGTGGCAGGTAAGATTGAGATTGGTCGGTAGTTTTTTACACAGTTTTTGGCACCCTTCTTTTTGTATAATGGATATATAATTGTTTCCTTCATTACGCTAGGAATCATTTCTGCTTCCATCAATTCATTATATAGCATGGAAAGGGGTAGTGAGATCGACTCAGGTGAGATCCTAAGGAATTTGGGTGGAATTCCGTCACATCCGCTCGGCTTATTTGCTTTGATTTTTATTATGGCTCTTTTTACTTCCTCCGCTGAGATCCTAATATTTGTTAGTAATTCGCCTTCTGGGGTGTCGGGATGGTGTGGCGGTGTGTTTGGTTGCTGGGGTTGAGGTAGATCAGGATTGGCGAAATGCTGGCAAAGTATGTCGAGTTTGTGTCGTTCATTTTTAATAAACTCTCCATTGTGGAACAAATCACGTAACTTTCGATAAGTTTTAATACGACCAATCTCCGTATTGAGCATTTTCCAGCAAAATTTGGAAGAATTATCACTCTCACTTGCTTGTTGTTTAATTTTTAATGCTTTAAGTTTAAATTTTTGGCTGGTTGCTTTGATGCGTATTTCTTTAAATTTTTTAAAGTCATCTTCGCATCCAGAATTATGTGCGTCTTTTTTGGCTCTTTCTACATTTTTATTAATTTGTTCGTATTCTACAGTCATCCAGGGCTTTTTATTCACGCGCACTCGAAATGTTTTAAATGGTGCATGTATATTCAAAATTAGGGTCACGAGTTTGTTAAATAATTCACATTTTAAATTCATATCTGATTGAAAGTCTAATATCCACCAGGGAGCGGTTTTGACCATGTCGTTCAATTTTTCTTCGTTTGTGTCTTTAAATGATCTTATTGTTACTGCTTTTCTTGGGCATCTTTTGTGTTTCTGTGTTTTCCGTATTGTGTATATGATTTCATGGTCGGCAATTACATCGTGTATTATTCCTCGGTTTTTGTTTAGGTCAACTCGATTGGTCACAATTAAGTCTATTAATGATTTGCTGTCGGTAGTTACTCTGGTTGGCTGAGTTATGAGTTGTTTGCAAGTTTGCCGTCGAATTGCAGACTTAAATTCACTTGATTCTGATTTGAGTTGGTCAATATTAAAGTCCCCTATCATATAAAACTCAGACTGACTATTGTTTGCAATTTCGTCTTCCATTTGGACATGGAAGGATTTAGGAGTGGTTGTTACACGATAAATAAGGATGAGGATAAGGTCAGGTAGGTGTTGTTTTTTAAGAACGACTTTTATGGATTCAACTGGGGGAGGAAATGGAGAAGGGAGCAAAGTGACCTCGTAGTCTTCTCTGGTGTATAGTAGTAATCCTCCTCCGCGTTGTTTATGGGACTTAATTCCTGGTCGATCTTGACGTGTCATTTCATATCCAGGTAATTGTAGTTCTTCGTTATTAATCTCTTTCGTCAACCAGGTTTCCGTAACTCCGAAGATGTGAAAATTGTTGTTGAGAATTAGTTGTTGTACGTCGTCTTTTTTCGTTTTTGAAAGAAAATCTCTGGTGTTAACGTGTCCAATTTTAACACCTCGTGGTAGTTTTTTCGTTGTCGTCGAAGATATCGCAGGTAGTGATTGTTGTGGGGGAGATGTACATTCGGAACAACTCCATTCTTGGTCATCGGAATAGGGTTGGGTTTTTCGTACACATAAAGTGTGGAAATATTTGTTGCATGAATGACATTGCACCATGTGTCGGTTTGTAGTTAGGTTGCAAATTGTACATTCTTTTAATGGTGATGTATCGGTGCATTGTTGGCATTTCCAGGAGTTTGTTTGATTTCTCTGAACTGGGTTAAGCTGGTTATCTCTAGGCAAGTTCGATGGTAGGAATTTTTGCATAGCATGCATTGAAGTGAAAGTTGGTTTACTTTTCTTTTGTCTTGGCATAAAATACATATTTTCGATGGGCCGGGGTTTATGCAATTTACTCCGCAACAAAGTAGGTATATTAGAAGAAGAGTCCTTTTTCGTTGTTTTCCTAGGTGAGTTGTATGTTCGGCGATCTTCTTGGTCCTTTTTGAGATCACTTCGTCGGAGAGATAGGAAGGGAACGAGAGGATATTACCTTGTATCACATTGAAAGGTATGTTAGGTAAAACTTGTCCTTCACTATTTAGTTTTACTTGGATAGGTATGTGAAGTGTGTAATGGGTATGGGTAAATGTACTGGACGTGTGTGCTGTAACTTTTTCGTTTGTTTTTGGAAAATTTATAAAGACATTTTCATGACTGTTTGCTCGGGAATTATCGTTTGTGTTAAAATATTTATTTGGACTGATAGTGCACTTTCTGATGATTATCCAGGTACAAAATTCTTGAAGTAAAAGACATGTTAAGATGGTTAAAATAATTAAAAACCAGGAGCGAAAATTTCGTGTATGCTCCATGTCTGCCTCTGCCTCTGCCTACTGTTGAGACTACAGCGTTTTATTTCAAAGACACTTAGGGTGGGCCACCTAGTACTTTATAATTTAAATTAGCCAAAAATTGAAAATAAATGCGCTCTAAATTCTAAATTACTTAAACTATGTATAATAAATCCATCCTAAATTTTACTTTTATCAAGTTAACGTTACTTCGTTAGGAATTAAGGGTGCATTCAATTCTCAAAAGGGTAAATTTATTTTTAAAAGTGAGTACATAATGCAACATCAAATTTTACATAAGTAGATCCTGAAATGCAGAATTTACAAGAATACAAATTATAATTTATCAATCAACCCGTTTTCCATGAACCAAAGCGAGCGACAAGGTTTGAGTAATGCAGAAATTTTGCATCACTAGCGGTGTCCCTTGATCGATGAAATTTGAGCCAAACTTGATCTTCAAAACATTAAGGGACCAAATCTGTCTCTTCACCAAAGTTCTCTTGCGCTTCGCAATTGTCCTCCTTTCTATTGCGATCCTAACTTTCTGAGACGCCACAAAAACTCGTGATGCCAACGTAATCACGAGAATGTTATTGATTCCCGCGCAAACCGCCATTAAGGGGAAGATGAGAAAACCTGGCATGGCGATACTGTCGTGCAGCGTAAGGCACACGTAGAATCCAATAATTTCAACGCCCGGGACACAGAACACGGTTGCTGGAACGATCGTATTCCTGACAAAGGCGGTGAAAGATTTCTCCAAAATTTGGATGTACCGGTACAATCGGATACCGTCATGGTTCCCAGCGCCATCTACACTTGAAGAGAGTTCACTAAAAAGAAATTACGCTAGTAAGGAATTTGATTCAAAATCCCAAAATATTGGGATATTCCTTAAGCGTTCACAAAGCTATGAAGTATGTTGCAAAATAAAAAATAAATTTGCAAACTTTGCAAAATTTTTGAAATTCAAAATGGAGAAAAATTTCTTTGGAATTTAGGAGCCAGGAGCAGGTTGTCAATTCCGGATCATGATGTTTTTGGACGTATGTATGTACACACTTAGGAAACTGGTATTAAATTATTGCTGACTATGTGCATATATGACTGGTAATGATGATCACTACCGTTTAGTAATGTTGTTGTAATGAAAATCACCTTATCACTCAGAAAAAACTCCTACCAACCCAGTACCAAGTCATATAATATACATGCGACTTTATCAGATTTTTACAGAGGGTTATAATTTTGTATAGGCACAGTAGCTAATTGCCTATTTATATAAAATCTGCGGGGCAAATTAAAAATGTTGTAAGCTATTTTAAAACTATAATTCAAGTTGAACAAAGTTTCAATTTACTCCATTTTAAAATTTCGAACTCTGGACCCGCAAATGGAGCCCGAAGTGTAACATACCGTTAAATGACTTTGCCCACCTAAAATGACCCCTAAAAAAGTACCTATATAATTTATCAATGCAATTAATATGGTTTTTATTGTGGACAATAATTTCGACAATGGAGTGAAAGTAAGTCGTCGGAGCACTTTTGAGACATTGAGGGAACATTGAGAGGATGAAGGGAGGCGTGCATGGGAGGACTATTAGGAGTATATATTCCAGAATGGGATAAATTATGGCACCCGCCTCGGCCAGGATGATGAAAATTTTCAGTGCTTTGGCACCAAGAGAAAGTGGGAAATGATTTAGTCCTAAAATTAAATATACATATGTACCAAACTTGTAAAGAAAAATCTATCTTAAATTTTGCCAAGGTCACGAAATTACAAAAGCACATTATACGAAGGGCGTTTACAATTGGGTTAATATCGTAAAACATTTTTGTCAAGACAAAATCGGATGCATACTGTTCAGCCAATATTAATAGTCTCCACAAATTCTGAAAGGTTTCCTGGAAGTTTATTTTATATTATTTTCCAAAAAACCAAATACCCTAAAAGGAATGAGACTACTGATAATAATGGCTGACTAATAACTAAAGTAATGCGATTTTTAAGGATAAAATCTTATAGCAATCTTCATAACCTATTTTGTGATACGAGGAATACTAGGAAATTACTCGAAGGAATACATATTACGTTACGAATCTGCATAGCCTTACTCACAATGCAAGTCTTTTACGTGTACAACTCAGATCTGGTTGGGACCAATTTTATTTTGTTCACCACAAAAAATAAGCATACCCATATTTTTTCATTTTTCATAATGCGCTAATTTGAGCGCGAAGCGCGAATTTTAAAACATTTTTCAGCCAAAACCTCGGTTTTTAAAAATTCCATAAATTTTCGAATTTCAGAGCGAATCCAAAAATTCGAAAACATGTCTCTTCAGAATGACTTACCTTATGAAAAATCCAATTGTCTCGAAATTTGATTTTCAAAATCGCTTTGCCAGTTTTCGAAATTCATTAAAATTATAAACTCTTTCAAATTTTTATTTTTTCAAAAAATAATGCATGTGGATTTTTATAAGTCAGATAAGTCATTCTCAACATACATGTTTTCGAATTTTTGGATTCGCGCTGAAATTCGAAAATTTATGGAATTTTTAAAAACCGAGGTTTTGGCTGAAAAATGTTTTAAAATTCGCGCCTCGCGCTCAAATTAGCGCATTATGAAAAATGAAAAAATACGTGTATTTTTTGTGGTGAACAAAATAAAATTGGTCCCAACCAGATCTGACTTCTCGACCCGTCCTCCACCGTTCCCCCATTGCTGTCGTGTACTGCCGTGACTGCTGTTTATATATGGTTGATATACCTATTTCTAACCTACATATTGAAAGAGAGAGTGAGAGAGATAACAATGAGATGACTTGCAATAATTGCCTCACTGCCCAGAGGCGATCACGATATAAAACTAGAATGTGACAAATGTATCTGATTAAGATTGCACATAAGGAAACCTTCTCCTTGATTGTGTTGCACTCAATGTGCAACAATCACTTTCACAAAATAAACCTGTTCTTTACAATATCTGGCTCTCTTAGACCGGGCCCCGGTCCAGGAATGAAATGTGAGATTCATCGGGGGAAGGGTGGTTGGTACGTAGTTATGGGTATGTCTCTGGATGGGAAAATTGATGTACGGGGGGCGAGCACGGGGCTTACGTGTTGAGATGAAGAATCCGTATGAGGAGGGGGAGAGTTGGTGTAGGCGAAAACGTGTCGGGGGTTAGTATTATTGCTAGGGATATATATACAACTTTGTACCAAGCGTATTTCTGGGCCGTGTACACGGTGCATGAAATGCCGAGAAGGTACAAAGTAGCTATCACAGCGTAGGGCGTGATGAGTTGTATTATGTACTATGGGTACCCTAGGTGAGATATCAAAATTGTCTAAATTATCTAAAAAAAATCTATGTGCAAATAATACACTGCAGAAAGAATTCTGTGGTGGATTGTTAAATCTATGGCTATGCTATATGGCTAACTTATTCTATATACATGTGAAGAAAGGGCACAGGAGAATAAATTCTCCTGTTTGTTTTTCTTCGATTTTACCCGTCTTTGGTTCTCCTAAAAAAATGCGGTGATGAGTCGAGAGGACCATCAGGTTCCCGCTATAATGTAATACTTACTGGTACGATTCCCCAAAAATTGTCGTGCAGTGGAGGCGAGTCTCTGATGCAAGAGCAAATTTTTGGTTGGGGGAATATGAAATGAGTTAAAAGTGTATGTATGTACATAAGATGTATCGGGTGTGATACCCTAGCGTATGGTAAACATGGATAAACCATGGAGTATATCTACGGAATTTAAAATTAAAATGTATAAGGTGTAATATGGACTAACTATTTTACTGAACAAAAGTGTTTTTTTTATGCATTTTGTGGTTTATGTAATATTTTTGGGGGTTAGTAGTACTAAAAAAAATGAGGAGTGGTCGATCGTTTTAGGTGCGGGCCCTGTGCTCGAAAAGATGGTCGTATATGTATTTCGGAATATGTATTTTAAAAATCGAGGATGAGATTGGTGTGCAGCAAGGTGATCCGGGTGATTGGGGTTGTTAACCGAGGGGAGGAAGTGGCGCGGAAATTTAACGGGGGGTATTAGGAGGTGGTGGGGGAAGTGGATAATAAGCCTGTGCACCAGGAAGTGGGGGAGGAGGAGGAGGAAAGTTGGCGGCGGAGTTCCGGTCCTGGAGGGGTTGCATCTGGATTTCTCGTTCGCGACGTCTGTGTCGTTCGGCCGAGCGAAGTTGGCGGTCCTTGTCCATACGGGTGAAATCTTGGCGAAGTTTTTGTTTTTTACAGATGTAAAAACATCCAAACATACATATGACGAAAACCAAGGTGATGA